CGAGGACAGGCTCTGCGTGGCGGTCCTCGCCCTCTCCGTCGCCGGCTTCGTCGCCTCCGTGGCCACCCTGCTCGCCGTCCGGCAGAGCAGGCCGCCGGCGGACGTCGTCTTCGGCGACTTGCGCAACGAGAGCGGCTGGCCGGACGGGTGGGCCGTGGTGGTCGGCATCACGGGCTGCCTGTGGGCGTACAGCGGCGTCGACGCCGCGACGCACGTGTCGGAGGAGGTGGACAACCCGAGCCGCAACGTGCCCGTGGCCATTGCCGTCACCATGGCGCTGGGCGTCGTGACGGTGCTCGCGTGGAACGTCGCGCTGCTGTTTTCCGTGGACGGACCTGCGGGCGCTGATGGAGTCGACCGTGCCCATCCTCGAGGTGTACAACCAGGCGCTCGGGTCCAAGGCCGCCACGACCGTCTGGGCCGTCTACTACATGGCCATGTTCTACGACATCGTCATCAACCTCTTCGTCTTTGGCGGGCGCACCATCTGGTCGCTGGCGCGGGACGGCGGCGTGCCGTACTCGCGCGCGCTGGTCCGCCTCGACGCCGGCGCGAGTCCCGTCAGCGCCACGGCCGTCGTTCTCGTCCTCCAGGTCGCCCTCGGCGTGCTGTACGTCGCCTCCACCGCCGCCTACAGCAGCTTCATCAACCTGACGCTGTTTGCGCTCAACATCACCGTGGCGCTGCCCCAGGCCGCGCTGCTGTTCCGCGGCCGCCACATCCTCCCCGAGCGCGCCTTTTCCCTCGGCAGGGCTGGCTACGTCGTCAATGCGGCGGCCACGGCGTTTGTGGCCTTTTTTTCTGTCGCCTTTTGCTTCCCGGTGCGTATCCCGTTTCTGCGAGCTCCATGAACTATTTGATTGTGGTCATGGCGGTTGGGCTCGTCGTCACGGCGGCCGCGTGGGCGTTGAAGCTGCACAAGACGTTTACCGGTCCGCGGGGAGATTTTGAAGAGGGCGAGGCTGATAATATCTAGATGTGTGTGTTTGGCACGCGGTCTTGATTTATGAAACAGCATGCTTTGATTAGATAGTATAGACTATAACATACGGTACATGTATTTATAGCAGGAGCATAATCGATTAATCTGCGCAAGATATTCACGCGTCTGCTGGGAAGCTTTAACAAGTGAGAATTGAAAAAGTATCTAATTTCAAAGTCTAGCCTAACAAGGCCATCGTGAGTGTCAGCACAAACACGACCCAATACACTGTAGAGGCAAAAGGCTACAGACTGGAACAGAACATTAATCTAGACGGACCCAGTTTCCTTTCTCGAAAGAGTTCCTGAGCTGTGGCTGCTTTATCTTGAGCAGCTCCGGCGCTTCAGTGAGCCTCAGTGAGCCTCAGTGAGCCACCCTGAGCAGCTCACTGAGCGAACCTGAGCGTACCGGAGCAGCTCCCAGAGTTCCTCCGAGTCTGTTGGAAAGAACAATATACCAGACACACTTCTGACACTCTAAAAAGATTACGTAGACTTTGTGAGAGACTTACGTGGCCTTCATGCATACGCCCTTTTCGACCCGCTTCGCCAAAGATAACGAAACAACAGCTATCCATTTATTTGCGTCGAAGCTTTCTTATTAAATGAAAGATATCACAATTGTTTCGGCCATGGCGATGGATTCCTAGAATTCGGCTGAAAACATCGTCTTGGCCTGCTGTATTCAGGTTGCAGAGCCCGATGGAAACTCGCGGAAGTCTCGGGCTTCATCTAATCTATTTTATTACGTCTACCTTATTAACTTTGCCTTGGAGGTTTGCAGCAAAGACACCTTGTGGCAGGTGATTATCGCGGCTAAGCCCTCCCTTGAAGAATCGAATACTCGCCCACTGCGAGGTCTCTGGGTCTAAGGTGAGATAATCTGTCTTGAGCAGAATCGGTGAGGACTCAAACATTTGTATCGCAAGCACGATCTATAACATTTTTTTGCTCGTGAGGTATTGCACATATTTGACACTGTTGACTGTTTTGTACAGCCGCATCCACTTCAAATCCTGTAGGTCAAAACATGCGGCAGGTTTTTTCAGAAATGAGGCTGTGCAATATAACCTCAGCATTCAGATGACGCCCGGATAAGCCTTATTAATAAACCCCGAAGGGATTTGGTCTGAAGCGATTTGTCCTTCTCGTGGGATAAAACGATAAACGAGCTTGGGTCACTTGCTTAGAGCTGCAAGCACATAGATACAGCGTTATTGCAAAATGGCATTTCTACTGTGAATACATGTGTTGCTGCATGGTACTCTGTCTCTCGCGATTTTCCTTGTAAAAGCTTTCGCATAATCAAAGTCACTGGTCGTCATTCTCCACTCGCATGTTTGGGTCGAATGCGAGATTGAGAATAAAGGGCCATAAGTATCCACATTGAGGCTATCACCAGGAGGCTTAGGCTTTCTCCGATTGGCCAGTTAAAGAAACAGATGTGGCTTTAAAACTAGTCGCAAAGCCCAACGGTGTCGATTTTTCAATGGCAAAGTCATAAAGGGCAGGTTTTAGCGCACATTATTCTGTTCTTTTTTGGTTTGGGGAACCAAACATTTCAACGGACAACGAATGGCGCCCTCTGTTTCCATTCGTCTGGTGTAAATTTAGACATGCACCAAGGAATCGGACACATGTGAGGTCAATTACAATGGTCGGGTCATCTACACTCCCACCTCTGGGCGACACAGATGAGAAGTTCATGGGCGGGACGGCCCGCCTTGGTGATCACACCATGGGGGAGAAATGGGACATATTTCGTGGAGCCGTAACTACCCGGTTGAGGAGCGGTTTTCAGGGAGTTTGACTTGGGAAGCAAGTGTTCTGTCAGGCTGCTGCAGCCTTCTGAGCCCTTCTCAGACTTGCCTCTAAACGCTATTTCTGGAAATTCTTTACTTCCGGCTCACGGGGGGCTACAACCTAACTTACAGAAGAGCTTACTATCGCAAAAGAAACATATACGAGGCCCTGAAATAAGGTAGCCTACCCTGTACCTTGCGATAGAACACATCACCCCTATGACGGGCTCTCCGCCAGGACTACGCCTCGGGTGGCGGCGGATGCTCGCTGTAGACAAAGTCTTATTCACGATGCGACTTCGCTCGTAAATCTTTCTTGCCCGTCTTGACCGTCAGCCGATGCATAATAAAAAATAACTAAACAGAGACAGAAACGCAATCGAACAAACGAGAAGAGAAGAAGCAAGCAAGAACGCAAAAACAAACGCAAAGTGCTTCTCTCGGACAAAAGATGATCAAGTCCAGCCCGCCTGGAAAGGGCGTGTGAGCGCTGAATCTAGCTCGAGTAAATTCACACCCTCACCAACTGCTGTCCAAATGTGGCGCGGGTCAAGGCTTAACAAGGGCTCGTCAGCCCGTTTTGCCTCCTGTCGAACCTGTTCAGATCTCTCTGTGCCTGCGCTGTCCCTGCTCTTTGTAACTACTCTCTCTTGAACGGCTCTGCCAAAATCATGGCTCACAACTGCTGCCTTATGTTCGCCACCTCATGAAGCCAATCCTGAAGTCTCGGTTGGGAAATGCGTTGATTATGTCGAACCATCGCTCCCCAACATAAATACTGGAAATGGGCACTCCAAGCAAAGTACTAAAACGGTGGCCAGTACTGACAAGAGATGTATACGGGTTACAAAGTCCTTGAAAAACGTTCTGTTCACTTCTGAAGAACGCAAACAGAACCAGCATCGTCATTTTTCCATCACGCATTTTCAGGATGGCCGCATACTGCTAGAGCCGGCAACGCAAGTAAGGAGTTGTATGTAGCCATAGCCTTTGCATACTCTAGCTGACCAGACCATTGTCACAGAATCAGTGTCATCTGCGGCGACATGCACAGAGTCGAGGGATGGAGAGCTCCCGCTCCCCTTTGAAGCCTCGTTATTCCGAAAAGCAACGAACAAACATACTCTGGAAAACATCGTCCCAGGACTGCCCTAATGATCCAGACGCATATGGAGCACACATTAGCGATGATGCCCTCTTCTTTTACGATGTGCGGAGGAGGCGTAGAGCTCCCCACTCTGGTGGTGTCGATAATGTCTTACCAGCACCCGAAAACAAACTACCACAAATAGTTGGTGGGCAGCCCTCAGTCGCCGAGAAGAATCTCATCCATCTACCTCGACGAGTTAGCTTCAGCGATAGTGAGCACCTACCCGACGACAAACAAATGCCGACGGTTGGTGGACAACCTTCGGCTCTGAATCAATACTTGGCCGGTTTACTTTAATTTCTCCGTATGGTGAAAACAGAAGAGCCTTTGCCCAGGCCGCTTTAAGGCCGTGTGGTGTATTTTGCCGTTTCCATTCGGTTGTGAGAAAGCTTTGCAATCTCGTCACAACTTGAGAAACTAGGTCCCCATGACAGGAAAACCTTTGGTTTGGGGGGGAAGTTTTCAATTTTGCCGACCGGGGGATGGGGAGCTTTTAGATAAGAGCGAGTGTAAGACTCTTCCTGGGGTTTGTTGGTGCTTACTTAAATCCCTGGAGGCAGAAGAGAAACAACAAACCCAGTACGGACCAATCTGGTTGAGCGGTCATGGGGTTGCATTTTTCTGCACCGAATCAACCAACATACCTATGACCTCCGTTCGGAGTGCCTAGCCTTGCTAAGTCCCAAGAGGCAGCCTGTTATACAAGTGCTGGATCACAGATGGTTCCAAGGCACCGGACAGTATTAAAACCCAGGCATGGAACCGCGATATATTTTGACCCAATCCTTTCTAGTCCAACCCATCAACCCTATTCCTCCTTTCTCTGGAATCTCGGCTCTTAAGACTTCTTCCAACTACCCCACCACTACGAAGCTTACGAACCCGGAACAACCACTATGACTGACTGATAGCGGTGGTTTCATCAAAGTACCAAAGCCAGATGAGGAGGAAATGATGCTAAAGGCAGCCGATGATTTTAGAAAGCGTCGAGAGGAGTACAGAAAGAAGAGGGAATTGGAGGAGCTGATGAAGAAGGCAGCCGACGAATCTCGGAAGCGTAGGCAATTGGGTTCCAGCACCACCTAAAGGATGAAATCCTATGGCCAAAGTATGTCAAAATGGGTTAGAGATTCCGTTTATCCTACTAACAGATATGCAGGCATCTTCGCTCATCCTTTAGCTGGATAACCAAGACCTCGGGTTAGGCATAATCCAAGGCTATCACTGCGGCATTGGTATCTAGTAAAGGGCGTGGACTGAGATAAATTTCGTGGGAGTGTAGCATATGTAACGCATGTTTCCTAAAACGTAGCGGTTGCTACCATTGTGTACCATTGTGTACTGACATCCCCCGTTCCGTGAGTGCTACTGTAACACGAAAGGTCTTCTCGTTTCATTGCTCAATTGAGGCCATTCTGAAGAAAACCCTACTAATTACTGCCCTTCGGGGAACCGAATGGCACACTCCTCTTTGTATGCCTTCCGTTGCTCCATCTTCCTCCGAACCAGGGGATCCAGCTTCGTCATCGTCACCTTATCAATGAAGCCGCATCCATCACTGCCCGCCTTATCGTGCAAAGCATGCCAATATATGTCATCCATATCCAAGCACGTTCTTGCGGCGCAGTTGAACCAGAAACGCCCCGTCTTCCACGAATCCCGCATCCGGGCAGAAAGACGTGGTTCCCTGTCCAAGTCTCCGTTCCCAGCCGATTTTTCTTCCACTTGCTCCAGCGCTCGCAGGAACTGCTCCATCCTTGGAACATAGCATGCCACGAATTCATCCATGCTACCACGATCAAGCCACACGTCTGGCCCCCGCAATAACAACCACCATGGCGGGTCATAGATGAATTGCGCTGGCATGCTATTCGTGAACTCGAAATCGAGTATGCGGTAATACGAAGGGATTTTGGGTCGATAAGAATATTTGAGGGTTGCATGTCGTCGCAGAACAGCTTAAATGGGCCTGCGTCGTCAATGCAGAATTTGGGGTATCAGTTGCTTAAACGCATGACGGGCGATGAATCGCCTGAGAACATCAGCCTCATCTTTAGCCAGATTCCGCTGGGTGTCAAGGTGAAGGAGACGTTGGCGCGCAATCGAGTGGAAGCAGTCACTCGAACAGTGGAATAGCGAAGTGGGAAGTTGGTCCATTGGATATCCTGTTCCGGTTACCAACTCGTTCATATCATATGTCAAGGGCCTTCGGGTGACAGCCCATGCCCCAAGAGCATCCTTAGAGACCGCTCCAATAAGAGGGAACTCAAGTTGAGAAATCTGAAATATGTAGTCGGCTAGCTGGTCATAAATAACGTCGAGAGTTTCGTCGTCAATGGCAGGGTCCAGGATGATCTCAGCATTTTCGTCTTCGGTCAGCTGCTTAAGAAACCTCGATAGTTTAATCCCGTCAATGAATTCCATGATGATGAATGGACCCAACTGTTGAGGGCTCTCCTCAGCTAAACCCCAGCAGCGTATGCAAGGCAAGGGAATAGTGGTGTGTTGGCGAAGGTACTCAATAATGTGCACTTCGTTTTCGACCTTTTCGGCCCTCCACTGCAGATTTATATGGCCGGGTTTTGCAAAGCGGATGAGAGCGCTTGGTCCTTGACCCCTAAATCCGATGTGGAAGCTGAGGTTAAATGATCCCTTGAAGAAACCAAGGTACTCTCCAGCTCCCTTGCCATCCAACTGGGCATCAACAAATGCCACGACTTCATCTCTCGCGTCGATAAGCTTACGTACCCAAGCCCTACATTCGTCGTCGCCATTTGCCTGGGCAATATTATCGCAAGTTGTCATTTCGGCTTCGGGGTAGGTGTAGAATTGCGGTCGTAGTCGCCATCGCCGGATTTTGCTTTACGAGGGGACGGCTGATTCGGTCTACTTAGTACGGGTAACAATAACAACTTGCTGTGGTGCATGGAGTTAATTGGAACTTGTCTTTAGTTGCATGTATTATTCTGATATTCTTGAACGCCAATCTATCAATGCTGTAACAGCTTATCAATTGCTTCGTCATGCATTAATGATAGCGTTATAGAGCTGGCTTGGGTTTCCTTCAGGCGTTCCAACGTCCATCCTCTCATCCTTATCCAATGGAAAGAGAATCTTTCGGATCCTCAGACAGAGAGGCTTAACGGTGTAGAAAGCCTCTGCGATGAACATCTCGAAATCTTCCGATAATTGACGTTTAGCGTCCAGGACTTTTGAAGGCTGGATGTTGCAGCGGTACTGCTTAATAAACTGCCTCACCCATTTCAATCCAACTTCGGGCCGGTTGATGTCGTTCGTAAACGACCGCGTCTTCAAAACAAGGCGGGCTGCATCGCGAATAAACTCCTTTTGCACCGCCAGATTATCACGTGGCAATAATGCTGCTTTGGGACCTATACAGCATTCTTTTACTGTTATGCATCTTCAAGGGGCCTATGATTACAAATTACACGGTTGCCACAAATCTCTTCGCTGTTGAAATATTCACAACTCTCTATCATTTCCCGTGCTTTCGCCTTGGCTTCTTGACCGCGGCTGGCCCTGTGAAAGAAGAATCTGGAGTTGCTTGTCGATAAGAGGTCTTGGGCTCAATCGCCAAGTCCACCTCTGACTGAGATAGGTTATGACTTTCAAGATCCTGTGAGAGACCGGATTCTTGAAGAGAGGGGACATCGAAGTCCAAGTGAGACGGCAACTGGTCAATGGCCAAGCAGATTCTCTTAAAATGCTTTGGCATCCATACTTGGTAGACGTTCTTAGTGAAAGAATAGGTCACCCACTTATCCTTGCCTTCAAGCTCCGTAAAATCGAATAGGCGGATTGTCCGGCGATGGTAAGTTGTTTCTTTGCCCTGTATTTCAGGGTAGTGTCCATAATTCGCACAGACTGATGGTCATGCGAGACGGAGAATGCGAGCAACTGCCGGTTAATTTCATCTTCTCGCCCTATCGCACGGAACAGCTCAACTACAGCCCGCACGGCCAGTGTCATGCTGTGAGTATTTTGACGATCTGCAACGTCCAGGGCGGCAGCACCGCACTTTACCTCGCAAGTTAGAAAAGGGAAGTATATTAGGTACGTCGCCATGAAGAAGGACTGGTCTCCAGCAATCCAGTCACCAATGAACGGGGACAACCTTTCTAGCTGGCCTTTAGTAAATGCCTCCCGCCTGAATCCCACTGTGTAGTCAGGCTGTGGGCGGGTGGCGGTCAAGGGGATAGAATTATACCATCCTTCGTTTGTGCTCTCGATTAGGCATTCGAGTTCGCTTGCTCCGAAAATAGCGAGTAGTTCTGCGGATGGCACAAGCAAGGGACTGATATCTCGCATGACCCTCAGTTCATTCCTGTCTGCGACACTCCGACAGGTTTTCTTGAAAATATCGTCCCGAAAGAGCGAGTCTTTGGGAATAGTCTGCTTAGAGCTCAGCAACTCAAGGATCATATCTCCACTCCCATCGGCGACACCAAGGGCAGACTCATCCATAAAGCTTCCTCTGACTTCAAGCAATTTCTTGTAGCGTGGATCGCGGTACGGAGCGCTCTTAGCTTCCCTGAGCTTTTGGTCGCTGGGCGTCGCAGAGCTCGCAGAACCAGGCTCCAAACGCTTGCGGCTCTGCAGGGAAGACGACGATTTCTTCCTGGCCAGGATGCGATTCATATTGGGGGCTTGCGCAATGAAGTGACTCGGCCAACGCCCTTCTCTGGCCCAATGAGCGATCGGGTTGGTATCTCTACTGTCGAGTTCCTGTCGCGACTTTTCCCCTTCGTCAGATAGTCGTGCTCGCTTGAGGACTGGTTTGTCTGCTCTCTCTAGAGTATCTTGGGCTTGCCGCTGCCTTTTCCGGCCTGGGGATATCGGGTGCAGCTGTGTTTCAAGCTGTTGGGGCGAAATGTTCTGCGCTGTGTATGTTGCTGTCCGAAAACGAGAACCGGAGTGACTTTGGTTGGCCTGCCTGGGTTCGAACTTTCTTTGACTACTTCGGCATTTTCTCTTGCGGACCTTGCCGCTTTGGACTTGCCTCTCTGCTCTGTGTCAGCGAGCGGTCCATACGAGGGGATGACACGTACCTTCACTGTGTAGCGCTGGAAGTTGGTAACTCCTTGACTCTGCGCGAACTTGTGCTCGGGTGCGGGCCATGGCGATGAGAATAGAGGAAAGATGTATGCTTTCATTATGATGGGAGCGAATCGCGAAGAAGTTGGATGCATTAGTAGTCCCCGTGTTGCGTGGAGGTGGGACAATTCGGCAAGGGGCGTAAACTTGATTGGAGTGTGGTGATTCTCCGACGACGCGAGATTTTTCACGGCAGCAAAACGTAACATGGCGAGTGAGTCACACGCGTCATACCCCACAGCAACCTCCTGTCGGCGCGAAGGTTGGCGGCTACCACCAGTAACACTGTCGCAATTGAGTACAGTAAACCAGGTCTATAACGATATCCTTCGTGAGGCTTTTTTCATCGTTATAAGGCGTCCGTCTGCCTTATTGGACTTTGGCTCGTCCGACTTCAAGTCGTCCATGTTTAAAGAAGATGGTATGAATGATATAGATGTGAAAGTTGGGCAGTCAAGGTGGGCAGATGGAGGACTTTATATAGAATACTTTGCTATGGATGATGAGGCTTGATGGGGTACTGGTCCAGCAAACAACACCAATGACACCCCCCTTGTACAGTCAGCAGTTCTGTGTGCGTACACTTTTGGCTCAGGGAAAGCAGGAAGAAGTTCAGGTCAGCTCAGTGGGCACTCAGGACGCTCACTTTGGCTCCGTGAGCAACGGGTGATTAGCGCCTGGGTTGGTGTGGCTTGGAGCGGCGGTGCGGGCCGTCTGGATTAACGTTCTGTTACAAATTGAACAAGTCCCTCACGACTCGCTGCAAGAAATCGTATAAATTTCTAAAGAGACATCTCTATATTTTTCATAGAAACGTAAACGATTAAGCTATACAAGATCTAATAGACTCGCAAGGGGACTTTGACAAGTCCATGATTCTAGTACAAGAGCATATTTATACCATCTGAGGCACTTGGTCTTGATTTAAAACAGCGTAAATTGCTCCGTAACTAATTCCACGTGCTTTTGCTCCGTCCCCTTCCCCAACCCCAAGACGTGGTTCTTCCCCACGGTCCCACGTATGCAAACGACTCGCCAGCCAATAAACGGCCAATCCCTATCGTCAACTTGATAGAATTGATACGCTAGTGACATTAATTGATAACCAGTTCTGTTTGCCGCCGTTGACGCCGTGCATGCCATGAACCTCATCCCGAGGACCGGCTCTGCTCTTGTCCGCTGCCCTCGTCACCTTTTTCCCCAGACCATCGTCGCCTGCCGCAATGAAATCCCCATTACCAAATTGTTCCCACGTTTGCCGCCATTGACGCTGCCCGTCTGACCCGGCAGCAAAAATCCACTCAAACATGTCGGCGCTGGCCGTCTCCCCAGAAGCAGCACCCGCTCCCGTGCCGCAGGCTCAAAATGTTGCACAGCGCAAGACATCCAAAAAGGGCGGCTACACGAGACAGCGCCGCGGGTGTCTGACTTGTCGCCAGCGCAAGAAGAAATGCGACCAGGGCCTGCCCATCTGTGGGCATTGCTCGCGGCTCAACCTCGTCTGCGCGCGCGAAAGGCCCCGACAACTGTCGAGTTCCTGGGGCGCGGTGCAAGACCGTCCGCACTGGGGCTCCGGCAACCCCTGCTGCCTGTCGCAGGGCGACCATGTTTCCGAAGTCCTGAGGCTGGCGAGTATCCCCGAGCCGTTGGATCTCTTGCATCCCGATGACGCCGTGGGTCGCGACTTGAGCGCAAGCCGGAGGACCATGATGCGCTACTACACATCCACTCTTGCCGTCATGCTGTCCGCCACCGCTGAAAATAACTGCTTCTTGTCAGGTTTGGTGATCCCAGTCTCTCTTTTACAATGTTTCGTTGGTTGACACGCGGACCGTCTAGTCCTGTTGCCAATGGCATTCGACTGCCCTACCCTCCTTGACGCCATGGCGGCATGGGCATCCTCCCACCTTGCCCTCCGTGAGCCCAGTTTCCGCGACACCTCGCTGCTGCATCGCGGGCGGGTGCTTGCGAACCTGGGCGCCGCCCTGAAAGACGGCAGCCTGTCTGGGGAAATGTGCCTGGCCGTGGCCATGGCCATGTGCTCCATGGAGACCATCTCGGACGCAACCAGCAGCAGCTGGGCTCACCACCTGTCCGGGGCCGCCGCCGCACTGCAGCCCGGGAGCTCTGGCATGCAACTCAGCCCGCCGCGAACATCGGCGTCTGTCTTGAGCGGGGACTGGCTGAAGTCGGTGGAGGGGAGGTGGCTGGTGAGGAATTTCGCCTATCACGATATCCTCATGAGCGTGTCCCTGGACAGACGGCCCTTGATGACTGGTGATTACTGGATGTCGGCTGACGATGCCATGGCAGATCCATACTTTGCCTTTGCGTCGAGGATCATGCTGTCGACGTCTGAGATTAGTGTTTTGAACGCAGATTGTGCGGAATACTACGAGGCGTCGCTTGGGGGCGGTGGCTCGAACACGTCTGGACTCGCCTTGGATCCCAACTGCGACGCACTGCTGCAGCGTGCCCTCGGCATTGCCAGCGACCTTCGAGAATGGCAATGTCCGGCCGCCTCGACCGACACGCCGCTCACGTCCCTCAGCGAGACGTATCGAAGCGCAGGGTTGATATACCTCAATCGCGTGGTGCGCAAGTACCTCCCACAGCATGCGACGGACGTACTGCCGGAAGGAATCCGGGTATACGTCGACTCGGTGTGTGAGGTTGCCGAGAAGGTGCCCGGGGGCTCGTTGGCCGAGTGCTCGTTGTTGTTCCCTCTTTTCATGGCGGGAGGGGAGGCAGAGGAGGCAACTCACATGGAGCGCATTAGGAGCAGGCTGTGTACCATGAACAAATGGAGGCGGTTCCGCAATGTAGATGCTTGCAGGGAGGTTTTGGAAGAAGTTTGGGAGCAGAGGGAGGAATGGAGACGGGGCATGAGGAGAGACAAGGTGGATTGGAGGGATGTTGTTGAGCAACGGGGTTGGCAACTTGCCTTGTCGTGATTTTTCGTGGCGTTGATGAGAACCTATGACTGTAACGATACTCGATTGATGACGGACGGCTAATTTCTGTTGACCTAGGCGGTAGTAGAACCACGCGGAAAGGGCCACATGCTGATGATGGCTCATGTTGCGGTGTAGCGTTGAACTTGATTTCATCAATTGATCTCTAGCTTGTGCAGCACAGCGTAGCATCACAAGGTTTCAATGTTGTTCAAGGGGAGTTGACGTTAAGTAGCTACAGGGTAGGCCAGTACGAGTGGGGGCCAAGATGCGGCCATAGCCCCTGGGCCCTTGCACATCGCAATGTGACCAGATCATGTTCACGGGCCTCGGCCGCGCGGGTTAATACGCGAAAAGACCACCGAGTTGAACAGCAAAAGAAGCCTGCTTGGACATTTTACGCCCATACCAGGATACATTCCTGCGAGAAGTCGCGGCGCCATGGTTAAAGTTCATAATTTCCGAGCTGTCAAAAATTAACCATTGTTGAACCATGGAACCTTGCGCCTGTCAACCTGTCCCAGGCCAATTCAAACTCCACTATCCACGGTCCATCCCGTTGTGCCGTCTGGTCCGCCTTCACGCCCCGCTTCACCTGGACAAAACTCACAACGCACGTCGAGCATCTAACAAACAGCAGGAAGAAGAAAAAAGAAAAAAAAATTCAACCAACAGGCACTACCCCATCCGGCCGAGGAATGAACACGCGAGTATCCTTGGCATTGCGACACAAATTTTTCCTCTCCCCGTCACCAGCGCGTCAATCAACCTCATCCTCGGTTCCCCAACCATAAAACCTGCCGACTTGTCTCTCCACCACCACCGAACAACCTCAACACCCAAAAAAGCCACCATCATGACAGCCACAACCACGCTCGCCGCGCCACCGCCAACAACCTGCTGCCCCAGCTGCGGCCTGTCCACGGCCCCCTCGGCCTTGGCAGAGGCAGACCTCGCCCTCGCGCGCCAGAAAATCGCCCAGCTCGAGTCCATCATCAACGACCTCAACGCCAAAGCCAGCGACGCCGTCGGCCGCTGCGCCAAGTACGACGAGGAGCTGCACGCCCTGCGAGCGCAGCACCAGCACCGGCCCTCGACCCCGCAGCGGCCGCCGTCGCAGACTTCCCCCTCGCCGGCCACGACGACGACGACGCAGTCGCCCACGCTGCCGTCACGCCTCTCGTCGTTCCTGTACCCGCGCAAGTCGACGCCGACCCTACGCGCCGACACGCGCCGCCAAAACTCCCTCCCGCTGCCCGCGCCGCCGCCGCCGCCGCCGCTCTTCCCCGACGCCGCCTCGACAGAGGACCTCGTGGAGGCGCTGACGCGCGAGCAGACGCTGCGCAGGGAGGCCGAGCGCCGCCTGAGCGCCACGAGCAAGGAGGTCGAGGAGCTGAGCGTCAGCCTGTTCGAGCAGGCCAATGAGATGGTGGCCGCCGAGCGCCGCGCCCGCGCAAAGCTCGAGGAGCGCGTGGGCGAGCTCGAGAAGCGCGACGACGACAAGGGGAGGCGCCTCGATCGTCTGGAGGCTGCCGTGGCCCGCATCGAGCGCGTCAGGGGCATGCTCGGCAAGTGAACCATACTGACTGACTACTTGTACTTTGGGGCGTTAGACGAGGGGGCAATCCGGCTGGGAGTGATTGTTATTAATTTTCCTGTTTTTAGAGCATGAGATACCAGGCGTTGTAATGGCATTTAGAGGACACTGTGTTCGGATCATACGTGTATGACTAGAACCTCATAATACATCACGGTGTATGACATACGAGATGGGATGCTCGTGTTTGCCTGAATATATCGACATTGCGGCTCCCAAGTGCGTCTTGGTCACATTTCCTAATGGCACGCATTTCCCCCCCGAGGGTTGAGGGCTGAGGACTGATTGTTTAGATGCTTCATGAGCCTTGTTTGCAGCATTTATCTTTGTATATATACATATTTCTCTAGTCTTCAATGCCATGCCATGACTTTTCGTCATCTGATTTAGTTGCAGCTTTCAGGGTGGGCTTTGCCGCGGACGGGGAGGTCCTGGTTGTTTTGCGGGGAGGCTCGGCAGACTCGCTTGAAGGTGACCGCCTCCTCTTGTCCTGCCGACTGGGCGAATCGGTCTCTGTGGACAAGCGGCGTTTCTGCTGCTTCTTGAACGCCAACTTGTCGTGGTCGGGCTTGGGGCTCGTCTGCCGTCCCGGCCAATTGCCCTCTGGCTCACCGTTCCAGCGCGCCAGCATGTCGGCGACCTTGGGGCCCCAGACCTCTTCGCCCTTGCCCAGGTCGTCGTATTCCAGTGTGTTTGTGCCGCCGACGGTGAAGTCGCTCTGACGCACGCGGCACAATTCCGCCATGATGGCCGCCGACCCCAGCTTGGAGCCCAGGTCGTGGCAGAAACTCCGGACGTAGTACCCCGATGACACGGTGAGCCGGATCTTGCACGCCGGAGGGCCCTCGTCGTTCCATGGTGGAGGTGTGCTGGAGTCCGGCGTGGCAGGAACCAAATTGGATCCCTTGTTCGAATAGACGGGTTGGGGCATTTGTCCCAGAGCCCCCGACATCAGAGCCTTGCAGTCTTTTCTGTGTCGGCTTTTCTTGAGTGGGGAGTCTTTGATCAGCTCATCCTGCCGCTCCTCGAACCGCCTCTTGAAGGTCTCGTGCGCCGTTATCGCCTGGTCGTCCTGCTCCTTTTCCTCGGGCGTCAGCGTCTTGCCCGTCTCTTGTTGCTTCTTCACCCTCCACACTTGCTCGGCAAGATTGCGCTCCGCGGCCTCGGCCTCCTCTGTTGGCCACCTGTGGTTGTGCTTCCCAGGCTCGTACCACTCGACTAGCTCGACTTCCAGCGCCTCTACTTGCCTGCTCTCGATTTCCCTGGGGATAGGCTTGCCCTCTCGGGCATATTCATAAAGCGGCTTCCCGTTCATTTTGAGAGCCGAGTACAGTGGCGGGATCTGTGTCTGCTTGCCCCGAAAGCTTTCCAGCTCCTTTTCAACCAGTTCCCGGGTAACATGATCGTAGCCTTTTCTGGATAGAACCCTGCCAACTCGGTCGTAGGTGTCGGTGCTCACTCCGAAGACGACAGTCGTTTCATACGTCTTGGTGCAATCGAGAAATTGCGACAGCACCTTGGTCCCAGAACCAATGCCTAGGATCAGCACGCCAGTCGCCAGAGGATCCAGGGTGCCTCCGTGTCCTATTTTGACCTGTGATGCCTTCTTTTCGGCCTTTCGGCGATTAAATTGCTTGCCTGACTCCTTAAGCCGTCGCGCCAGCTCGGCCTCAATCATGGGTCGGAAGAAAGTCGAAGGGTTGAAGGCTTGTTGGCACTCTCGCACCACCTGGGCCGAACTCTGGCCGCATGGTTTGTTGATGGCTGCAAGTTGGGGTTAGCAACTGCCACAAGATGATGATGGCCATGCTGTTGCGTTGGGCTTTGTGCTGAGAGAGAATAGAAAGCGAGACTGGAGACTCACCAAAGACGCCATCACGGACGACGTCTGACGCCATTTTCAACACCTTTCCAGCTCGTCGCATGCGAGCGCAACTGACACCTGTCGCACAAATGAGGTAGCGATTGTGCGATTGAAGAACCGAAGCTGCCTTTCACGGGCCAAGTTACACGTTCCAGTGGAATAATTTACAACCGGATAAATCTGCTGCGGTAAAAGTCAAGAATTCAAAAGCCCAGGATGTGGTGTTGCGGTGATGCGATGATGCGATGATGCGCCGCAAGCTTTCCTGGGCAACCAAAGGGACTTGGAAAAAAAAAAAAGTTGGGGACCACCACAGGAAGGGGTCAAGCGCAGTTAAAATGCTCATTGGTCGAGAGAGGTCAGCCAGGCTGAGGCCAGCCAGACCGGTCCATGTTCACTGCCGAGTGCTGATGTGGATGCTGCGGTGGATGCTGTCTGGTAGTGGATACTGCAGCGACCCGTCCTGCAACTCCCTGCAACTGCCAACATTGAACATTGAACCAGACTGTTTGTTGCCTGTCAGCCCGCTGTATCGTATTGTTGTGGCATCAAGTGTCAACTGACGCCAGGCATCGCAACATTGAAGCGCCGCCAACTTGCACTTGAAACTGCCCCGCCAACTCGATCCGCAATCGTCGCGTGCCTCACCGCAGCACTTCGCGACTTCATCTCCTTCTCCGTCCACCAACCTGCGAGACTTACCCAACGCCTTTCATGCCATCTCCTCTCGCATCATAGCAAACATGACGGGGCGCAGGCGCAGGGCGTCTACATCCAGCGTGGAAACCGTCGATGGCTCGCAAATCCGCTGGCGTCAAGAGACCTCTGTCGTGCGATCCGTACCAAAGGCCACTTCCTCCGACGACTGGCCCATCTTCGAGCTCCAAGATGCCATCGTGCTGGACAAAGACGGCGAAAATATCAAAAACGCTCTTCACGCCGGCCATGAAGGCCCATTCATCGTGAGGGGCAACCTCATTATCGATGATCCCGCCCAAAGGACGCACCGTAATACGGCCCATCCATCTACATTCACTCCCCCGAAGGACTGCGTCTGACATTTGGCAGTCATTATGAAAGTGCGCGGCGCTACCCCGCTCGAGATTCGCCGTTGCGCATCCTACTCCATTGGAGAATCGCCCGATGGAAGACCGTTGATATGGGTTTCCGGCCAGGGCGGCTGGTACGAGATCGATCCATGTCCTGCCTACAAGCCCATGTATAACAAGATGTGCGAGGCAACAACCATGTACTACAACATTCTTGACATTTATACAGACGACCCGCCAAGGAAGACCAAGAAACTGAAAAATAGCTCCGCCTTGGATGAGCTGGACCAAGTATTTCACAAGGTATTCTTGCTGTCCCTTCTCATTTCGAGATTGCCGTGACATGGGACCTGACAAAAGCAGTACGCCGCGCGCATTGGTGATGGCGCAACCCTGGAAGAGGTCCATGAGAGGGCCAACGAACACAGTGCTTTCTTTATTGACCAATTCTCACAAGATGTGGACACTTGGAAGTCAACGGGCTTTTATCAGTATATCACCACGAAGCATGTCGTAAGCTCATCCCGCTGCTATTTGAGTCTCTACGTAGGGGCGATGCTAACTCCTCTTCCCTTTCCCCTCTAATAGGAGCTGGGCAACAGAATTAGAGACGCAATGGAGAAGCTCCGTCTCCAGCCGTACGCATCAGACGCAGAACACAGCTCCCGCTCGATGGGCCGCTCCCGCTCGATAAAGAGCAGCAGCGTCGAAGTCCCCGACAGCAAGGCTTTCCAGGCAAGCCAAAGGCCAAGACCAACCCCAACCGCTCCCAAACGCGCCGAGAAGCCTGGCCAAGAAGCCACCCCAGAGCCAGTCCCCGTCATGTCACTCTACGTCCGGGGCGGGCAGGACGACGCTGCCGACTCGCCATTGCGCTCTGCCCTCGCTGCACTGGAAGATGTATACAGCAATACTGGAGCCAGCAAAAATGGCATGACATACCGAGCAGCCCTCACCAAACTGTACTTTAACTTTTACTTCCCAACTTACAAAGACAGCCGCCCCGGCTCCTACAAGCAGCCCGTCGAAGACGCCCTCCACTACTACTCCAAGGCTCTCGTCGAAACCCTGGACCTAAAATACCGCACTCACGAAATATACAGCAAACTTCAGGAACTGGCCACGGCCCCCTTCCAACCACGAGCATACAAACCATCCGACTTCCCCATCATTCTTGTTCCCCGTAAATCACAACCTCGAAAGGGCACCCCTGCGCAACCGCCTCCGAACGTCCCCAGCGTCAGCCCCGGAAACCACACTCACCAGCCCCCTGCTGTGACGGAAACTCCCAGGCCGCAAGGCAAACGTCCTACACGCACACCCGGAAAATCCGCCCTGCGCCCCGTAAACCGCGCCCCGAAACGACCCCGCGATGAGTTCGAAAGCGATGATAACGAATCCCCCGTCGCCAAACGCTCCCACTACTTCGTCGAAGACGACTCCATGGACGGCGCGCCCGACCTCAACTCCCAGGATGAAAACGACGCGGACGACGATACCAAAGAAACAAAATCCAAGTTTGACATAGAACCAATCAAACTCGTCATCAGGGCCGACCGGGTTCCCGATTCCTCCCCCCGCGGTCCCCACGACATGTGGACCTGCGACGAACAAGGCTGCAACTACATAGTCCGAGGAGGCGACCAAGAAGAATGCCAGCAGAGAATCCAGCAGCATTTCAGAGACCACGAGAAGCAGCTCGCACGGGTCAACCTCGCCATGAGGGAGGGCGCCCGCAACCACATGTCCATCAAGTACGCCTACTTCCCCCCGTTTCTAATCCAAGTCTGCTTTGATGCCCCTTTACCACGTCATACGTATCCCGCACCCCCGCTACCTCCTCCTCCATCCGTCCCGTCTTGTTCCCCGTCATCCTTATTCCCGTCCATTGCAGCAGCAGCAGCAGCGTCACACGACACGCCGTCAAGCACGACCGTGTCCCCCGATCTAAGTAGATTAGCCAGGGGCCGTTTCCGCGCTCTAGTAGAGCGGTTTCGCAGAACAACACCCCCGCTGCGGCGGCGCGCAGTCGACAGGCAAAAGAAAGAAAAAGGAAAACAGAAAATCTAACTTGCTCCCAGCCATTTACTCGAAAAGATTAAACAGATGAGGGGTGAGCAGGAAGAGGGTGTGCAGCCGATCAAACGGAAGCTCATTGTCTGATGGCAGGCCACGTTGTACATGTACTTTAGTAGGCGTTCGGTTTTGATATCCATGTGAATACGATTTATTTATTTTTAATCAAGTACCCTTGTTGAAGTAATTTACATGCCCCGATCCAAATACTCCACTAACCTGTACAGCCCATTGATGATATGGGGTCTCACTCCTGGCCGCCGCCTGGTTGCGTCGCCCCTTCACTTGCGGCGTCGGCTGTGCTGCTTGTCCACCGGCCGTTCTTGGCCTCGGCAACAAACGTCTCCTCTATGGCGGCTAGGCGCTGGAAAACGCGGAGCCAGCGCTGCCCCCATCTCCGGATCATGGCCTCTCGCTCCGGGGACCCGTCCCCGTCCTCCATGAGTTGGTCTTTAGTGCCCGAGGCCCAGCTGGCCAGGGCGTCGTTGATGGCGGCGAACAGGTCGCGCATGGAGGAGACCTCCTTGTCGCGGGTGTCGGCGTCTGCGTCGGGAGACGTGAGGAGCTGGCGGACGCGCCCGCTCACCTTGGCGACCGTGTTGGCCACGAGCTCGAACATGTGAGAGCGGCCGAGGGCTTCGCCGCCCTGCGTGCCGTTGGAGGGGCTGCTGGCGACGAGGGTCCAATCCACGATGGAAAGGGGCGTCAGGATGGAGTAGTTGAGGAGCTTTTCGATGATGGTGATGGCGACGCCCGGGTGGGCGGCCCAGTAGTTCATGATGGACGAGATGATTTGGGAGCGGGCGGCCGGGTGCGCGCTGCCGACGTCGATGAGGCGACCCTTTGTGCGGTCGATGCATGCGAGCACGTGGCTCAGTGATTTGGATCCGACCCAGCACACAGCTGTCATGAAGACATCTGTGCTGGCGACGACGGGGTCGAGAGCTTGCTCCTTGGCTTGGGCTTGGATGCTGTCGATGAGGGGCTGGATTTCCTCATCTGTTGCTTTGCGTCGCAGGAGGGCGCTGATTTCTTGGCCTTCCTTGGCAAAGGGGGTATCTGTGTTGCGGTTAGCCTCGTTTGTTTTCCTTGTGGTTTTCTTATTTGTTCCCCTTTTGTTCCCAGCAAAAAAGGTTGATATTTCCTGGAAGCGAGAATATGTGTACTTACCAGGATTTGTATACTTGAAATCAGGCACGTCTTTCTCCTTTTCAGGCCCAATAAGCGGTTGGTATGGCTCTGGGAGCGTCTTCTGAATTCTCTGTGCAAAACTTAGCCGAATCTCCTTGTCCAAGGCGCCCAGCAGGAACCATTTGCATGGGTGGAGGTCAGGTAAGCCAGTATCCTCGGACCACTCAGCCCACTTCCAAGTGAAGCCAAAGTTGCTGAGATGATGTGAGAACCAATCCAAGAAACGGTAGCTTAGTTCAAGGTCTGTCCGTGGCGTGTTGCGGTACAGAAATCGTATGGCTCTTCCAAGACTGGGGGCAATAGCTGCTGGAGCAAGTTTACAGGCTTCGGTCAGGACGGCGTGATAGTACACGACCTTGTGTTCAGACTTGGGAAGCTGGAAAAGCTGTGAAAAGACGGCATCCACTGCAACATCTTCTGGCTTCCATGTTGATCGATTATCAGGCTGGTTGCGCAGCTCGTCAAATGGAGTAGCCCGCTTGACAAACGTCCCGTCGGCGAAGTAGCAATCAAGATCCATCAAGAATCGAGCAGTAGCATTTCTGTTGAAGTGCAGAACGTTGATGGTGTCAGCGAGTGAATCACGGATAAGAGATGCGGCAATGTTGCTTGGAGGCGGGACCGATTCGACCTCTTGCTCGCCGTACACAGAGAAGTAAATCTCCGGGAACAACAGACGAGGCCCAGCGATGGCCGTGGGAGGGACGGCAATCGCAGGAAGTGCATGCTTGGTCGCACTCGCAAGCTTCTCTTGAATCTCGACCTCCTCTAGCGGCATTTGCCACGGTCGAGGGATGCAAGCAAGCGCCCAGTTCTTCGACGCCTCAGCCTGCAACTGTTTCTGGAGCAACATACACAGGCTCATTGATGCAGTAGGGCTTTCGTCATTTCCTTCGGGATGGAACGGATCGACGAGGGCTTGAAGAGCGTGGGGTTCAGAAGCAATGACGTCCGTCTTTTCCATAATGTCCGCGGCTTGTTGAGTAAATTGACCTGGCGCAGCAGCCATCGCATAAGGAATAGTAAGAAGAATAATCTTGACGATTTCTGTTCCGATAACCTGCGCTTCAAGCATTAACACAACCAAAAAGAAAAGAATGAACAAATACACAATGAAACTTGGCAAGCCAAGGCCACTTACATCATCCGAGCTTGCAGTCTGCAAATCTGCAGCCCTCATAAACAACTCCTCCAACAACGGAAAGATGCCATTCCCTTCCAAGCACCCTTGCAGACATGCCAGAAGCTTCAGCAGGAGCTTCACCTCTCTCCACTGGCCCTTTGCGATATTCTGCTCCAGCCCAGTTGCCAGACGTGCAAGTACCACATCCACCAGTTCCGCCTTGAACGTATTAGCCACCACCACGACGGCACCGACAAATGGCGTTTTGAGGGGTTGCTCCACGGCTAGCTGCAGCACAAGGTCGACAAAGTTGTTGCGCAGATTTTCGTCTTCGTAGTTGTCCGTGACCATTCGCGCAAGGGACGTGACTTCTTCGGACCATCGGCGCAACGGGGAATCGGCAAGGCTTAGGAGCTGACGTCGAAGACGGACCGGTACAGGTGCCGAATCTATGCGTCGGCGCTGTTGACGGCGGTCGTAGTGATCATCGTCATCTGTGTTGAGAGCTCCTTGTTAGTCTTGCCGTGGAGGGGGCCAAAGTAGCCTCGGGCGAGGGTAGATGTGCGACCAACCTCTATATCGCCTCTTGCGGTTATTATACCCGCCAGACTGGCGTCTATCGTAGTCCGCCATTGCACAGTTGCCAACAGAGCCTACGGGATTGTATGCTCGTGCCAATGGGTTGTGAAGGCAGGTATTGATGTGGTCTCGCGAGGGCTGGCGGTACCTTACAGAGCTCAGATTGGAAAGTGATAGCTGATCCACGAGCCCAGCGTTGGTTCGATGCCTCAGGCAACATTTATGATGCTGCCACCAATCATGGAGTACCCAACTCACATTACACAAAGGCCCAGCCAGCTATGAATCCCACTGGTATACAGGGCACACACAGAGAGAGAAAAAAGTCAAGTCGCGTTGTTCAAAACACAGCTTCTCATGCAAATAATCCATATGTTAATGCAAATCCCAAGGTAGGATCCAACTTGGGAATCAGAATCCGTCCTTCCAACCTCGTGGTATATAGCCAGGTCCACAGCCGCATGCTGGAAACAGACAGTCAAGACACCATCCGTAGAATTCGTTCGCCAAAAGCAATGACACCTCAAGCGAATCCTCTTCTTTTCCTTTTCTCACTCTGACGTCAAAACTACTCGTCCAGATACCAGATATGCTACTCACAAAATAATGCCCCACCCGCGATCCACACCTTGTTCCGTTTCTCGTGGTCCTATGCAGGGCCAGTGATGCCGAGTCCAGCCAGGCCCATCTCCATACCGATCAATGATCGTTCTTCATCAACCAATGCTGACAAAACACTCCACAGCTAGTCCCTCCATTTTCTTCTTTTTTTTTTTTGTCCCCGCCGCAGCAAGAAGTCGTCAACTCAAGGTTCGTGTAAAAAAAGACATTGATTGAACAAAGCAAGCCAATCGTTCCAAAACCACAACACCAAAAGAACTCGTGACACATGGACAGCGGAAGAAAAGAGGGGAAAAGCGAAAGTGATAGCCTCCCTTTGTTGTCATGCATCGGAACTTGGTCTAAAGCGTCATCATCTTCCCTCCCATCTTTCACATACAGCCACCTTGGCCGTTTTTCCCAAGAATATATAGATTAAACCCGGTCGCCCTACAGAAAAAAAAACCGGATCCTCGAGGATCATCATCATGATCGCTTCTCTTCGTTACAGATTGAGTCTCGATCTCCAATTCCCTAGAACACACTCCTCAAAGCCCATCTCGCTTGGTGACTGACCGATCGTTGCGCGCAAGTATTTGCCGAATCAACCATGCCAGTCTCGAGAGCATAAAGTCCTCCTCCCGACATCCCGTTCTGGCTTGCACATCGAGCATCTTCCCCAGTTTTCCACTTGCAGCTCGATGCCGGGAGTGGATGGGGCATATGTTCCAGAGCCGCCTGATGCCGCATTAAGCAACCAATGGCTTACTTCCTCTCCTGTCTGCTTGAATAAGCGATCAGTCCAGTCTGGCAATCATCTCCTGCTTCGTCATCGGCGTGAAGTTGTCGATGTCAAGTCCTTGTGAGGCCAAGACAGGTTTAATGTGAGCAGGAACAAGTTGCGCGTTCAGGTGTGGCGCAATGGATAGCTCTATGGGAAAAATACGGGTTAATCACAATCATGTAGAGTAGAGTTTATAACGTGTCAAGTTTAACCAAAGATGATGCTTACCATGTCGCGTAAAGTCGAACAGAGCAGGCAGGTCTCGGAGCTGACCGGAGCCATGTCTTGAGTCAGGCAACTTGGTGCCTGGATCCCGGAGCTCGTCGAAGAATGGGTGTACCATCGCGTCAATGGCTGATTGTCGCTCGGTCGGCGTATATTCGAGCAATCTTGCAATCAGGTCGATTGCACTCGCATCTGCCTTACGGAACACCTTATTGAACGGGTGAGGCTTGATCTGAGGAAACTTGTGCTCCATATAGTTGGGGTTCATGGTACGGATTTGCTCTCGCGTTGGGGTGCCAAGGACCTTGATAATTTCGACTAATTGGTCAATACCCGACTCGCCAGGAAACAACGGCTGGCCCAGCATCAACTCAGCCATGACGCATCCAGTTGACCAAACATCTACATTTGAAGTTAGCGGTGTCAAGTCTACTGATTACATTCCGGGATATGAATCCATACCAATCTTGGTTGTGTAGTTGGTGGCACCAAAAATGAGCTCGGGGGCACGGTAGTATCGAGAGCAAATATACGAGACATTGGGCTCGTTCTCGACAAGGATCTTGGCGCTACCGAAATCGCACAATTTAAGAATACCACTGTTAGGATCGAGTAGAAGATTCTGGGGCTTGATATCACGGTGGCAAATTCCTTGCGAGTGGATGTATGCCAGTGCTCTAAAGAGTTGGTACGTATACAGCTTAACTTCCAGGATGGGCATGGTAGTCTTCATCTTGTTGAAAAATCGAGATGCTCGGTAGACGGTTTCAGGGACAAATTCTTGGACCAAATTTAGATAGACTTCATCTTTCTTGGGGTTGGTTAGTAGGGAACACAAATATCATTGCTAGCAGGTGGGTACGTACCCTTTCACCGTTGGAGTAATAAAAAGCTTTGAGCTGGACAATATTTGGGTGTCGGACGATTCGCATGATTTGGAGTTCACGATTCTTTGATGTTGATGTGTTAGTGGATTTGCCATTTTTCTTCTCATTGTCATATGCCTATCACCAACCTTGAATCTCTTGTCTTGTAAAACCCGCTTGATAGCGGCATCTTCTCCTGATGGAGACAGCTTGGTTTGAAACACTACACCGAATGAACCGTTGCCTACGATCTTGCATTGCGTGTACTGCAAGTCCCTGGTCTCTCCTGTTATTCCATCTTGAACCTTCTCACGAATGACCTCTGTAGCGCAGATCAGCAACTCGAAGACATTGTAGCAAACGGGTAACAGGGCAGGGCGAGAATACTAACCCCCCATCCTGAGGTTGTTGAATGCATTTGGCCGATGAGACATCCTTGGTGAAATGAAACCAAAATCAACAAACTAGGGCTACCGGGTATCGACAGTCAAGAACCCGGGCTGAGAGGAGATGTGAAGTATAGACTCAAATGCGGCGTACCGGGCCGTGGTGGGCAACTTGTCGAGCTGTTTGAATTGAAGAACTAGAATAGTCGGTGCACCGGGGCACAGGGGCGCGCAAGACGGACGTAGATAGAACTAGTGCCAGTCGCCAGCTGGTTGTTTATAGGAAACTATCGTCTCGGGTATAATCGAGGCGATTGCGATGACGGATAGGAGGCGCAAAAAAGAAAAAGGTCGAGATCTCAAAGTGCACCTATCGCGGATGAAAAAGAAAGCAGAACCAGTCAGTATAAACGTTGTACGTCACTCAGGCAGCGATAGCAAAAGGAAGGATAAAATGACAAAACAAGCAAATTCGAGCATCAGAATCAGTCAAAAGGCCGCCGAAAGAGCATCCGCCTGATGGTTGTCATGCTACTAGGTAGTTGGGCTTCCTTTGGCTAGCAATAGTGTATAGGAATGCTTGGGCCCAAAACAAGCTACGAAGCCGTGTTCGACGCCGCCAAGATGCCAAATGACACAAAAGATGCTATAACAGCGTCGGCATGGCAAGATTGAGTTGGTACTCAAAACACGGGCGTAGCAGCACAGGCTGTCACCAGACACCCAGTGGCACCCATTTGACAATGCCCAAGTTGGCTTCCCCGCAATTTGGATGAAGATGTAGGCAGTCTAAAAAAGCCGTATTGTAGAGCGCCATATAACACCAAAATGCGAGCGCGAGTCGTCCAAGAATTGATAAGGATACGCGAAGGACAAGGAGGGTATGATTTCTAGGTAATTTGGCGAGACCAATGCGAGTGGGACGGAAACCGAGTGCAATTAATTGACTGCGAAGCAAATGGTGGGGTTTTGCCCATGTGCCCCGGATGCTGGGAGGATTTGCGGCGCACAATTGTTGGAAAATGGCGAGAACGGAAAGTCGAGGAGAGTGAAAAGCGGGCATAGGCAGACAATTCCCCATTTCCTTGTCGACGGGGAGCAGCAAGAGAGAAATTGCAACGGATGGCGCATGTGAGGCAAAATAAACCCGCACCAAGACAGAAAGAAGGACGTGAGGGGAGGGGAGGCACAAGGAGGATGCAAACGAGACAAACAAGGGACAAAAAGAACTCACCAAAATGGGATTCAAACGGCGGCAAGAATACTACTCGGTCGGCAGATTGCGTCAAGGCGGACGCAGTTGGGATCGGGAGACAAAAAAAAATTAGGCCTGGTCGAGTCGAGTTGGCAGAGATGGGAGAGAGCAGATGGATGGGTGTTTGCGAGGGCAGCGGGTGCGAGTGGGAAGAGGTCAAGTCGACGCTGGTACAAGCACGGAGTACGGAGTACATACAGCTGGTGCTGATGGTGCTGATGGTGCGAATGGTCCGGCTGGCACTGCGGGGCAAGGCACGAACGAGGCGGCGGCCGATGCAAATGCTTCTGGTCTGGCTCAGTGTCGAACGGGAGCTGGAGCTGGTCAAGCGGGTGACTGGAGGTGACAAGCGACAGGCGACAGGCGATAGGCGACGGCGAAGGCTGGACAAGTCGACGTAATCGCGGGGAGGTGGAATTGCGTGCGGATGTCGACACAGGCAAGTCACGACGGGCTATCTAGGCGTCGCAGGTTTCCAATGTTCGTCAAGGACGAGCGGTGCGAAGCAATGGCGGGCAGTGTCAAGCTGCCAGGCGGCGAGGCTATCCGATGGCAGTCGCAGAATGCTTCAAGACGGACAAAGTCTTGATGTATGGTGAGTTGTAGGAGGAGCTCTCCAATGTGTCTGGTGGTGGCCAGGGCGGCGTCTGGAGGGGCTGGTGGGGGGGCTGGCAGACTGCCTAGAGGGCCCCGGGGGGCCTGTCAGTCAATTGCTCAGGGTCAGGAGGGCTTGAGGCTTGAGAGGGATGGGCCCCCTCAGACCCGCTTCCACTTTGCATCTTCACTTGCGCAGGGGGAGCTCTCGCCAAAGGACGGAAGACGAACCTGATGACGCCCTGCTGCAGTCTGCACAGAGCCTTTGTTGGGGCAGTGGTGCAGAGCGTTGTTTTTGAGCTTCCAAAGTGCCAGCTCAATGCTCAATGCTCAATGTTGAACGTTGAATGTCCAATGTCTACCTACTTAAGTAAGCAGGTACTTCAATGTCGAGAATTCAATGTTCAATGTCGGTGCGGGGCACGCGCGCGATTCAACCACTCTCTCCACTCCTGCCTTGCCGTGATGTGATGCCCTTTTGCCCTTCGATGCCAACTAGATGTCGCGGCAAAGAAACGGTAGTCTGCAATGCGTATTGTTGCAAGTCTCCCGTCGAGCTCTCCAAGTGGTGGTGCCTTTTCGAGTCCCACCTTGTGCGTGCAGCTGGGACCAGGGCAAGGGACTGATTGACTAGGGGGGTCAAAGCAGCTAGCAGCTCAGGGTTGTTGCTGGGATCGTGAGAGCAGAGCTCCAAAGATGGCGACTTGAGACGGCAACGGTGAGATGCGAGGCGGGGTGGTGTAGTGGTGTGTCCTGGCTTGCGTCGCGAGGATCTCGGGTATGTTGGAGCAAGCTTGATGATGCAGAGCCTATCGTGGTGTTTTAATAAATCCAACTGTCGCCTTGTCAGCCTTTGTCAAATTCCATCCACACAACCAGACCGAGCAGCCCACTTGAGCACTCCAACATGCTTTGTTCCGGCCCAGCAGCGGAAGTGGCGTGGACCATCAGAAGTAAAAATTCGCTGGCCCCGTGCCACTCTGGCGCCCCAACCCAGGCCTGGAGACTCGACGAGATGGGCCAACAAGCCATGCTCATGTTCCACCGCAAAGCGGTGCAAACCCGACGCCCAATAAAGTCAAATTCGCATGGTCGACTGCTCAAGTGCTTGCTCTCTAGCGCCCTGGAGACGATTCTGCTCAAGGCCAATGGGCTCGTGCTTCTGCTCCTGATCGTGCTTGTTGTACTTGTGCTTGTACTCGTGCTCGTGCTTGAAATAAAAAACAAAAATAGAAGAATGAAAAACCACAAGCCGTGATATCTCGACAACAAACGTCGTGGCCGGCCAGGCAGCAGTCTTTCATTTACTGCACATCCACCTTTCCAAGGCATGACGGGAACCGTCTCTGCGAAGAAGCCCAAGCCCAGCCCTCCGTACGAACGAGACCAAAACAGCGGAGTAGGGGAAAGGGGGTGGAAGGGCAAATGTAAATGCAGAATGCTGACGGTGCTGGCGCTGGGTACTGTACCTTTCGAATACTACTCAATCTCGACAAACTCAACGTCAGTGAATAAGACAAAGGCTTTTCCAGATGTTTTTGGCAGAGGACAAGATTGTTCAGACAGGCAAGATAACAAACACGCTTGACTGCCTTCCAGCGAGGACAAAAACAAGGGGGGTTCAAGAACAAAGATAATGGCAGACGACAAGCAGCTTCGACGTTAAAAAAACACAGTCAGGGGCCGCCGATGACGGGTTATGCCACCGACACACTACTTACTTAGAAAATAGATGTACACGGGGGGGCGCGACAGCATGGAGCATAAGAATAAGTAATATTGCAATTATCACGGTACGTACTCCGCACTCCCTTCTTGCATCTCTCTGTACTTTATCGACGGTCCATGATGCTACTTCGGATGGAGTAGCACTTGAGCAGACATCTTACACCGTGGACGCCTCAACCCGGTCAACCCAGAAACTCGCCGTACTAAAATGGGGTAGACCCGCAGCGTTGGGCTTGGAAGTGCTCATGTGCTCATTTTTGAGACGGGCAGCATGGCGCTAGGCGGCCGGCAAGCGGAAGTCAAAAGAAACTGGCAGATGCTGGCCCAGATGTCCCGTCATCGTCTGGTTCCCTGCAAGATCAATTGAGGGCTGATGCACCACGGGTGCAACGCCGAGGCCGCACAGAGACCACCCCGCCCAATGTCCCCCATACGGTAGCGAAAAGAGAACAAGGCACGCCATGTCATGACATGCCAAGCGTCTTAATACTGTTGCGGCTCCTCGGTGCTTGAGCTCTTCTTATTACGGAGCGACATTCTGGTTCGCTGTGATACTGTCATATTGTACTTGACTGTACAGTACCGTACCGAGTATGGTGTTGCTGGTGCTGGTGTTTCCGAAGACTTTGTTGACCTGCGTCATGGTCACGGGGCCTTTTCGACATGACCCTGGCTGGGTGGTATGTCCGTACCTGTCTGGCGATCGTCTTCAAGAACCAAAGCTAGCGTGGCTTTTTGCGTTCTTTAGGGTAAAGATGGCACATCCAGTTATATTGGGACGGCGTGTATGGGCTTCTAAAAGCAGACGAGTCTGGCTCACCTCGGGGGTATTCACTTCCTGCGAGAGAAACGGTTTGGAAGAAGAGGCTAAAACCTCATATGTGAGTGTCATTTCCATCCCAGC